TGTGGCATCAGTGGAGTCAGAAGAACAAAGAACTACATCGACCTCGAGCAGATGAGACAGAAATGGACTTCAGTAGGAAACACACAGAAATGAAGAAAATCCGTGAGCAACAGCATAAATCTGATGTCAGCAGGTTTATGAAGCTCTTTATTAGAGAAATGAACTCAGATACCACAAACAAGACATTTTTCCTCAAATGGCTCAGAATCCTTCTGGATGAACATACATCAGCTGATCTTTCTGCTCTACATCACAAATATAATGAAAAATGGTCAACAGTCCTAAAACTGACAGAGAATCATGATAAACCTGAACAACTCAAAGCTGAACAGACTGAACTTGAGAGAATATCTGAGGAACTTCAAGCTGCAGCCTTTGGTTTGGAGCACATCATGAGGGAGATTGGACAGATTTACGAATCGTGTTCATCTGTGAAGAAAAACAAGGAAGACTTGCAGTTTCACCTCTCTTCTCTCCCGAGTCTTGCAGCAGAGATGATGATCTCTGGATTTCCACTGGAGTTGATGGATGGAGATGCTGCTCATGTTCCTGTGATCTGGATCTCTGCTGTTCTAGATCAACTCATCCAGAAACTGGGAGACCAGAGAGTCTTTGTGCTGTCAGTTTTAGGGCTTCAGAGCTCTGGGAAATCCACCATGCTGAACGCCATGTTTGGACTCCAGTTTGCCGTCAGTGCTGGCAGGTGCACCAGAGGAGCTTTCATGCAGCTGCTCAGAGTCTCAGACGAGATGAAAACACAGATGAACTTTTACTATATTCTGGTTGTTGATACTGAGGGTCTTTATGCTCCAGAACTGTCTGGAAGATCAACAAGACATCAGGACAATGAATTGGTCACATTTGTTGTTGGTCTTGAAACATGGAGGGAAGGAGACGACTGCAGGAGACACTGGATGAAATTACAAAACTCGCTGCTAAAGATGAAGTCTGTGATGCAGAAAGTTTCAGCGATATCAGTAGATTTGATGTTCAGAAAGATGTTAAGTATTTTGCTCATCTCTGGGATGGAAACCCACCCATGGCACCACCAAACCCAAACTACTGTGAGAACATTCAAGATTTAAAGGAAAGTATAATAATTCATGCATCAAAATCACATGGAATGATGCTGAAAGATTTAAAAGATTATATTAAAACGTTCTATACAGACTTATTGAAGGAACGATTCATCTTCAGCTTTAGAAATTCTCTGGAAATTTCAGCTTACAGGAAACTGGAGACTAAATACAGGAAGTGGTCCTGGAGTCTTCGCAGTGCCATGATGGAAACTGAGAACAAACTACACAACAAAATAGAATATAAAATAATTAATGAGGTTGAGGAAACTGACCTCCAAAGAGAACTGAAGGAGACAAGTGAAGAAGTGAAAAAATCAATGTCAGAATTCTTTGAGAAAGACAGAGATAAAGATAAACTGATCCAGTGGAAAACATCATTTGAAATAAAAATCAGAGACCTTCAGGAAAACATTGTCAGAGAAACAAAGAGGAAATTAAATGATATTCCTCAACAGCGACACCTAAAGAAAAAGACTGATGCTCAGAGAACACATCATGAAAACACTCTGTATGAAAAGAGCAAAGAACTTGCCATAAAACTCCAAGACAAAGCAAATGATGAAGAAAAACTGAAGAAAGAGTTTGATTTGTTTTGGGAACAAAGTGTGAAGAAGATCAGAGACAATCCTCCAATCAAAGAGATTGATATCGTGAGAGATGTGAGAGAGATTCTCAGTGACAACTATAAAAGTGCTCCTATAGATCACTGGAGGGAGAGCAGGGATATCTTCACTTTGCCGAGTTATTCAGATTATGTAAATTGCAAAAATTTCACAAACAGTGAGAAAAATGAGGTTTTCAGAACAGCAAAAGAAACTCTGTCTCCAGAGCATGAAGCCCAAATAAGATCATTAGTCACAGATGTTATTCAGCAGACAGACAACATGATTCAGTCATTTAACATTTCAAAGATGGGCTACAATAAAAGCTGCCTTGCACAACTCATAGACTACGTCAAGACAAGAGTAACAGAACATCAGAAATATGTGTTCAAGAATGAATTCTTCATGGATTTGGTTCTTTCCATCTGTAAGAGAGCAAACAAAATGATCACTGACCAACACAGACTGTTCAGAGACGCCAATGATCCTGAAATATATGTTGAGAAGAAGAGAGAAGAGTACTATAGTATTTTCCAGAAATACTGTCATGGAGCTGCTTCAGCTGCCATTTTTGGAGAGATTATCTGTCAGAAACTCAAAGAGCCCATTGAGCAGAGCGTCTACAAGAAGACTGCCAAAGATCTGACATATGAAATGAGATCAAACTGTGAATCACTAAATGGAAACAGATCAAATCTGGAGAAACACATCCTGAAGACACTGGCAGAAGAGGAGGATTTTGACAAATACATGAACTACATTAATAATTCCAGAGATCATTTCAAGGATTTCATAAGAGATGAAGTCAGTCAGTACATCACTGATAAGTTCAGTGTCAGTGTTTTGCCAAAGATGAAGGAGAATATTAAACTCCTGCAGCAGAAGATCATGAAAGCAGCACATGAATCTACTGAACTTGTTCAAGAGAGCAGAAGAGATGTTGGGTTGTGGTTGAAGAGTTTCACACAGCAGCTCTCAGATGTGCTGATCTTCTCTGAAAAAGACCTCAGTGGAGTCAAACATGATGGTGTTAAAGATTTCAACCTCCTAGAAGATGTGATAAAAAAAGAACTTCCTGCTATAATGTCTGATATCAGCAGTAGATTCAACACTAAGTCATTTGATGAAAAACTGTACTATAAATTCAGGCCAGAAGAACTTCTGATTGATCACTTCTCTCAGTGCTGTTGGGTCCAGTGTCCGTTTTGTGGAGCCATCTTCACCAACACCATAGAAAACCATCCTGGAGAACACAGTACTCCTTTCCATAGTGTTACTGGACTAAAAGGGATGAAATACAGGAATACAACAAACTTGTCAATTAGCATCTGCACATCAGCAGTAGCAAGTTATCGATCTTTTTATCCCAATGACTCAAAAAAGTCAGTTTCCTGGAGAAAATACAGAAATGCAGGAGGAATTTATACAAACTGGAGCATCACCCCTGATCTCTCTGAACTGCTCTACTGGAAGTGGTTTGTGTGCGGATTCCAGAAAGATCTGAAGAAATACTACAATAAAACATCAATAGGTTATTTTACAATACCAGATGAATGGAAAACATACTCAAAACGGGCCGCTATTGAAAGTTTGAATCAGTACATGTAATTGAGCAGATAAAGAATGTCACTCTTACGTCTCCTCTCGGATGCTCCTCAGATCACAGTTAGAAATGAGTTTCTCCTACATTCATCAGTGAGACTCTGAGCTCATTTACACCTCAGAAGAGCAGAGCTTCATCAAATACATCAGAAGAGGATTAAAAACAAAATTCAGTTCCACATACATGATCTGAACTACAAAACAACATATTTCTGAGCATATGCCTGATTGATAAAGCTAAATGAATGATGTATATTATGGTTTATTACTAATCAGAACAGCTTAATCTCTATCAAGATTTATTATAAGGATATTAATGATAGACGTTTGAATATATAAACATGTGGTGACATTGTTATAACTCAGTGCTGGTATTCAGACAGTTGAAGAAAAGTGTGAAAAAAAACCTAAATTGTGCAAAGTGTTTTAAAATCAGACCTGTTGATCTGAACATTACTCATTGCTAGGAATTTTTTCTTCACAGAAGTTTTGTGTTTAGTGAGCTTGGTCTGTGTTATTGGTCTGTATGAAAAATGAGGAAGAACTTTTTTTTTTACAAGATATTTCATAATATCTTTATCACATTTATTAGTACTTGGGCCTACAGACTCTGAAATGTTTACTCTAACTTTTGATAATTGATAATGATAAGACATTGATAATAATCAGAAATGGTTCCTGAGCAGCAAATCAGTATATTAGAATGATTTCTGAAGGATCATGTGACACTGAAGACTGGAGTAATGATGCTGAAAATTCATCTTTGATCACAGCAATAAATTACATTTTACAATATATTCACATAGAAAATTGTTATTGTAAATTGTAATAATATTTCACAATATTACTGTTTTTTCATTTAATTTTGGATCAAATAAACGCAGCCTTGGTAAGCCAAAGAGACTTCTTACAAAGACTTTAAATCTTACTAACCCCAAACTTTTGAAAGGTAGCGCAAATTACAGTTCAGATGTTCCTCCCACTTAAATGATACTGTGGTATATGTAGTCCATTCTATAGAGACCGTATCTGTTCCCCGGATACTGAGAACAAATGCGTTTACTAAGGGTGATTAAACCAGATAATGGACATTCTAAATCTGTGATTTCTAGAATATTGCATCTTTACAATGTCACTAACTCATTCAAGTCCCCCCAAAAAGGCTGGTCATCCACGAAAGACAAATGCACAAGAGGACAGGATAATGCTGAGAATCTCAATGGGGAATTGGTTCAACACTGCAGCTGGAATTGACCTATCGGTAAGCCCCTCCCCTCGAACGCAGATGAG